TTTTAAGTTTTACTAGCCTTGAATGGCCACACACTGGCCCAGCTATTGCTGCAAGCATTTTAAATACTTTACATGCTTATGGAATTGAGAATAAATGATTTCCTATTAGTTTTGATAATGCTAGTAATAATGATTTTGAAATAAATATTTTAAAATTTCAATTAAAACCATGTTTAAATGGTAAATTATTTCATATCAGATGTGCATGTCACATCTTAAATTTATGTATTCATGATGCTTTAAATATTATTTCTACTCATATTTCTAAAATTAGAAATTGTATTATATTTATTAAAAGTTCTGGAGCAAGAAAACAAGAATTTAAATATTTATGTCAAAATTTTGGTTTAAAATATAAATATTTTATATTAGATGTTAAACATAGATGGAATTCTACCTATGCTATGTTAGAATGTTGTATTTCTCATAAACATATTCTTACTAATTTTTATAATGCAAAAATGCCTAATGATATTGTATTTGAGGAAGAATGAAAAATGGCAGTTTGTATAAGAGATTTTTTAAAACATTTTTATGATGCAACTAATGAATTATCGGGTATTTATTATCCAACTAGTTGTAATCTACCTTATCAATTAATGGTGATTAGTGATTTCTTTGCAAAATATAGAAATAATCTACAATTTAAAAATATTATGAAAATAATGGAAAATAAATTTAAAAATTATTGGGCGAACATTTCTCCTCTTTTTTGTTTAGCTACAATATTAGATCCTAGGATTAAGAAAGATGGTTTAGATATTTTACTTGAAACATGTTGTGAAAATATGAATATTGAAATTGTGAATAAAAAAGAAGAAATTGTACATTTATTATTCGAAATGTACAATTTATATGAATCTGAACTTGAGCCGAGTAGTAGAAGAGAAAAACATTTTCATTTAATAAGTAGAAGGCAGAAATTTGCTACTTCTACAACAAGTTTATTTACTGAACTTAATTTTTATTTACAAGCAAATTTTTCTACTTTAGGCGAGGGAACAAATAATTTTGATATTTTAGCCTAGTGGAGTGAACATTCAAAAAATTATCCAGTTCCTGTCGCCATGGCATGTAATCTACCAACCACTCCAGTGCCTACAGTTCCATCAGAGTCTTATTTTAGTGCAGGTACCAGGGTGTTGGACGGCAAGAGAAACTGCATGAACAATGAAAGTATAGAGATGTGCATCTACTTTAAGGATTCGTTGGATGTTGAAGATAAATTACAAGACAAAGGAGGGTATGACACTACACCCGATATTTCACCTGAAGCAGATGATGAAAGTCATGACTCATGAACAATAGTTGACTAGTTCTATGGAATTTTTTATCTTTTTACAAAATATTGTAAATTTTGTTTTAATTTTATTTAATCGATTTTCTATTTTTTAACAATGTAATTTTGTATTTTCAATTTGTAACTATATTGCATTTTTTATATTTTATTAATTTATTCCATTTTCATATTTCATTCATCCAAGTATCCAACCATTGTATGCTTTGTAATTTGTATCATTCAAATTTAAATTAAATAAAATTCCTATTTGTCTTCCAATTTGTTATCCCATCATTCTTATTTGGTTAAGTATTTTTTTCATTAATGCGTTAGATTTTCCATTTCTCATTTCTTATCTTTTCAAATAGTTCCCAAAGCTCAAAGGAAAGTTAAATATTTTAGTTTTACACTTTTACTTAGAAAAGAAATAAAAATTTCAAAGAAAAACAAAAAAAAAAGTCAAAAAACCAATCTAGCCTGGTTCAGCCCACGTCCAAGGCCCGCCCTATAGCTCAGCCCAACACGGCCCAAGCCCACAACCCGGCCCAGGCCTACAGCATGGCACATTACAAAACGGGCCCACACGAGCTTGGCCCATGGGCCATGCGGGGCAACCCCCAAACTTTTCACTAGGGAGGGCAGCACAGCACGGCATGGCCCACACTTTGCGCGAGCCGCCTGCGGGTTGTGTCGTGCCAGCCCCACACAGCCCACTTTACACCTCTACCATGGCCTATCACCCATGCTAGGGACTCTAACCTTATAGTTCCAGGAATGCGGTACCTCTCGACTAACAAGCTAACTTGCACCTTGCCAAGAGTGTTGTCCAAATCAGAGCAAGGGTAATGCCCCAACGTAACACCTCAGCACTTAGCCTCAGCCTGCTCCTCGGCTGTGGGCTCCTTGACCTCTTCCACATCCACCACATTAGGGTGCCCAAGAATGTTCCTTGGGGTGCCAGCCCTCGACCGTGTGGGACCGGTGCTCTCATGGATAGAACCCGCACTCTTTTGATCACGCTCAGCCTCGCAAAACACGACTCCCTCCCTCAGCACTTGGACGCTAGACGTCCGAGAGGAGCTTTCACATTCAATACTGTCACTTACATCACTACTAGGAGTGTTGCTAGGGGTACTCCAGTGTGGAAGGTTATACTCCTCACAACATGAATCTGTGGCCAATATGTTGGGGACAGGAATCCTTTACCTAAAGATTTTTGTTAGAGAAAGTTTAGTGGAATTGGTTGTTGATAGCCGAAGTGTCCTCAATAGCTCCCAGGCAGAAAGGTTTCAAGCAAATGGTGGGGACTCGCTTAAACAACCTCCCTATTTGAAGAAAATTGTATGGCTCATATCCAATTGATCCAACGGCCGCGGATTTGCCGACCTGACAGCCCAAATCGACAGGCTCCATGTGGCACTGACCTCAGGAGACGAAACGATGCCAAGAGACGGGGGTAGGTCACCCATCAACTCTGGCTCATGGATATGCCGAACCGGAGCCCCCCCCCCTATCACCTCATGCACGGCCTCATTTAGTCGACCCTGACACCCGTCCTATGTACAGGCATGTGACACACGTCCTTTGTACGGGCATGTGACACCCATCCTACATATGGACATATGACGAGAGACATCAACGCACATGCAAGGCATGGACAGAGGACGTGAACAACCTATGCCTGCACAGGCCATAGTCACGACCCCTCGGTCCGAGATGGTCCTTCACTAACACAAAGGGAGAGTGGAGGAGTAGTTGTAGTATAACCCCTAAGAAGAGCTCTGTAGTCGACGTTGACGCCTCCATGCAAGTACATTATACTCTCTTTGGCCGAAGTCAAGGCCTCAACCCAAAGCGCCAAACAACCTCGATCACTACGGCCTCGAGAGTGGGGGGCAATTGATATAGTGGTATTCGGCCGACCTGCAACTTAACACATGGCACCGGTTAGATGCATTCCAGCCGACCGGTAGATCTTGACACGTGGTGTCGGCCGAACATATCCTAACCACCCATCACCAACCACTACCAACTGCCACCACCTACTCCCAACTATTCCTCCTCTCAAGCAACTCCGACTATAAAGAGGGGCTCCCACATTGAGGTAAACACAAACTGGAACTTAAGCTCTAAGTCTCCTCTCTTATTTGGTCCGACCCCTCACAGCTCTCGACTAATTTGATCACTGGAGTCTCTACCCCTTGCGTAACTCCAAGGACTCTGATATCATCTCTCTCTTAAGAGGTTGAACCCATTGGCCCTCAAATACTAAAAATTACATTATTACCCTCGACTCTATATTTGGCAGCAGCAGCAGAAAAAGCTTCTTTTCAATGGTCTTGCTTGTGGCTTTTGCAAAAGACCGGAAATCTTCTTCAACTTTTCTCGTCCTATTCCTTTTGTTTTGTACATAGGAAGTTTAATCAGCCAGCTCTGATACAGTGGCTCAAAAAGAAAAAACTTCGAATCAAAACTAATTTGCTTTGGACAACTATCCGTCATGGATACCTGATGTAAAGAAATTTATATCTTTATCAGCGTTACAATATTATCCTTTTAGTTATCAAAAAAAAAAAAAGCTAGAAGCTTGTAAGAATTGTTTTTTTTTTTTTAATTAGCAGCATTGCAGATTAAGGGGGTGTTGGCCAATGTAAATGGTTTTATTTTCTAAGACAAAAAGAATTGTCACATTAACAAAAAATTATATTATTTTTATTGATGTGGCAATTATTTTTGCTTTGAAAAACAAAATCATTCACATTGGCAAACACCCCCAAGGGTGCATAAATCTTTCATTGCCACGTGCTTCGGCGAATTTGGACCTACCACAAAAATGGGTCGATGCAGATGTTTGGTCCAGTTAATCTTAAACATGGGTCCCACTTTAGTGGTGGGTTCTGATCTCAAGGAGGAGCAACCCCTGATCAGCATTTTTCTTTTTTTTTTTAATTTCCTTAGAATCAAATTATTGAAACTTAATTAGATATTACATTTGAAAATGTTTTTCATTTGCATTGGGTAGGTCTGGGGACTAGCTCTCTCGCTATAGCCATGTGGAAAGATGATGGAAGGGCTTTTCGATCACAACCATAAATCCACAAATAAGACCACCAGAGACGGTCGACAGAAATCCGAATTTTCTGGTTCAAAAACTCCCATAGAAAAATCGTTTGTTTTGCCATGTAGTAGAAGCTTTTGGGGTTGAAAATTGCAGGATGAATCAAGAGCAGCGTGGGAGCATGTGGAGGATTTTGAAGACTCTTGAATTGTCTAAATCTCTTCGTTTGCTAGTTAGCCAGTTTTAGTGTAGCATTGTTGTCTTAATTAAAACATTACATCACCCACCCACGGCAAAACAAAATCTAGCTTATTAATTTGTTATAAGTAACCATCAAAATGTGAGTAATGTATAGACGAGAAATTACAAATGCTCTTGAGAGTTGAGATAACATATAATTCATACAATCAAGAAATACTTAAGTTCACCTTAAGAAAACAGAACCATGAACGGTTAATACCTCATCTGGGTCGCAAAAGTCAATCTCTCTCTCTCTCTCTCTCTGAGTTTGGTCTTCTGTATCGTATGCTGAATTTAATTTCCCAACTCCCTTTGGCCCACATAAAGATTCTAAATTCATAGCTTTCTTTCTCTCACCTTTTCTCTTATTCTTTATGCCCATCCCCTTTATATATATCCCCTCCTCCCTAAACCTGGCAAAACTGCATCAGTTTCTTTTTCTTCGTTTTCTTCTTGTTTGGTTGATGGACGAATACTACTTGAATTCTTCAATGAATAAAGTTCTACCTTCCAAAGGAGGAACGAAAAGTGATGATTGTGCTGAGGAAAGTGGTTGGACTGTATATTTTGAGGACTACTTCTTGTCCAACAACCGAGAAACTACTACTTGTTCTTCTGTTTCTGTGAGCTCTTCCTTGGTTTCTGATGCCGCTTCCTGTGCTGCATGGAAGAAGTACTCCTCGGATCAAAATGGTGGTGTTGTTGGGTACTCTTCGGAGGTGGGCTCCGAGAAGAGCAATAAGAAATTGAGTTTCAAAAAGAGGAGAACCAGAGGAGCTCTGAATGATGATGATTTGGAGGATACTGCTAGCTCTCCTGTTAATAGACCCAAGGTAAAATGAACCCATGTTTCTCTTATTATCTCATCTTTCCAATATGCTGTTTTTTTTTTTTTTAATTTCTTTCACTCCAGAAATCAAGATTATTTACCTTTTTTGTAGGTTTGTAATATGAAACAGTTGGGTTCTAATCGAAGAAAGAAAGATTATTCTCTAGAAAGGTTTTAGGTGAGTCCTAATGTTCTCTTCCACTGTTTTCCTCTTTGCATTTATTTTCTTTCTCCTGCTTGTGGTTTGGTGTTAAATGGTTCATACTAATTAATTTCCTACATAATTAACCAAGTCGTTTGGGTTCTGGTTTTGCAGGAGAAGGCAACTACTTCTGGTCATTGTTCAGAACTGCAGGCAGATGATGAGGGAAATGAATTGAGTCCTATTGGGGGAGAAAATGACTATGCAGAACTGAAGAAAAGAGGGCTTTGTTTGGTCCCTTTATCCATGTTGTTGAATTATGTTGGATGATTTTGCCTTATCATCTCTATTTCTCTGGTCCTTAATTCATCAGAATTGCAGAGAACTGAATTTGAGTCTTCTAGTAGAGAAAGTGACTGTACAGAGAACTGAAGACAGGACTTTGCTTGGTTTCCCTTCTAAATCTTGCATAAATTCATGTTCTAATCTCTCTCTCTCTCTCCATTCTAAGTTCCCAAGTCCAAGAACTATGTACAGGAAAAATAAAAAAGAAGAATAGAGGAGGAAAAGACCTCTTATTAAAATACTGCTGACTAATACTCATCTCACATAGTAAAGGATTTGGTACTGATGGAAAGAGAAGACACAACAAAGACATATCAGTTGGAGTTAATATGTAAATGCAAGTTTTCAAGAGGGAAAAAAGGAGTTTCTGTTTTTGCCTCTTTTCGTCATTGATTTGTTGAAAATTTAATTATGAAAAGACTACCAAACAAAGCCAGAAAGTATAGGATGATTGCAGAGAAATTCACAGGTTGCCTGTTTCTTCCTGAGATGAGAGAAAATGGTTAACTAGAAAGCAAATGGTTAGAGGGAAAAAAATAGACGTTGTTTGAACAAAAAGAAAAATGATAGACAAATCGAGTAAAGCAAATCAAACTCGCTTTGTTTGATTGCTAACATTGCACTGCATATTAAATTATTAATTAACTATTGGCCACAAATTTGATTATTTTAATTTTACATTTTTTTGCTACGATAATTTTAATTATTCATGGATAATAGAGCTAAATGTCGAAAGAAAACTAAGGTGGTGACACAGTCAGTTTAGCGAAATATGGAATGAGATGTAATTAATAACATTGAAAAATGGCTTTTATTCTAATAAACATATATAATTATTTCAGTTATTTCTTGATTCAAAAAACAAATCAGAATTCATGATAGAGTTTGGCAAAAGTTTTAGCACCAGCTACGAATCAAAGGCAACCCTCCTCCTTGGGACCATCTGTGTAAGACAAACTCATCACACAAGCATTTTGATCGTATAGAAGACCATCTACAAAACCTGTTAGAAAAAGTGGATCTGTCATAAATTAAAAGGGCGGAAGAATCAAGGGCAGACCGAAAAGTACTTCATGAAAGTAATAAAAATTTATTTAAATACCCCCAATTTAAACATGATTCATGTAACCAATCCCATATACCTTATGTTTGGTTCCACGTTTTCTTAGATAAAAGTTTATTTGAAAAATATTAGTTTAAATGTTTTTTGCTTTTTCTGTTTGGTTGGACATTTTATGGGTGTTTCAAGTAACACCCCATAAAGTTGCTTTTCACCTTGAATAAAATGTGCCATGTCATCATTTCATTTCAAGAAATGCTCATGCATTAGGGGAACATGAATTTGGTGTTTCCCCAAATATCTTATGCACATAAATGAAAGCATTTCGGCTTTCTAATGTTTATTTAATAATCAAAGATTTCTTATGCTATAAACACCAATGTTTATGTGGTGCTGATGTGACAACGTTTTTTTAATTAATACCCACAGAACCAAACATATACATAATTGGGAAATGGCTTAACTGATGAATTTCTTGATCCACAAATTCATTAGTTTTCAATTGCTCAGAATATATATAAATTTGCATAGTTGCCTTCACAATTACATGTTTATCCTACAGACAAAATTGGGCCAATTTGGGTCCTGCTCAAATGAGCGAAAAAGAAAAAATTCAAATTCTACAAGTAAATAAATCTGGATTATTTAATTTTTTAATCATAAATTGTTCTTATCTCTTCTTGGAATAATATAAGTGAATATGCTAATAATATATATTTTTGTCATAATACACACATAAGTAGGTGTGGGAATCACAACCGAAAGATAGAAATGCCTTGCATCTGTAACAGATGAAACAGTAAATAGTATATAATAAAAGCAGCTTCATATAATAATTGATAAATAATAAATTAATTTGTAAAGAAATAAACAAACAGGTTCATCTGCTATCTTCAGCCAGGCCCTTCAAAACAATCACAACAGGCAAGAACAGAAGACCCCTCCATGTGCAGATACATTAAAGCACGTAAATACAAAAGACCATAGCTTGCTTGTTTGTCTGTTCTCATCTTCAAACTCTAAAGACATTGGGTGGAAAAGTGGAATCCCACATTTAATTCCCCTACTTGATTCCTCTCTTCCTCATTTTTCATCAGTCTTCTTATTTTTTCTTTTCCTCTTTTCTTATATGGAATAGTTCAAACCATTATAGTCAATATATATATATATATATGTAGACTATAACTCCTTTGATGAGAGATGAGAGACAGATGTCTATACATTTGAGTTCCATATCTCCCCCAGCTTCAGACTTGTTTTTTTTCTTTTTTTTTTTTCTTTCCTTCCAAATTAAATAAAGGAAAATGTGTTATGGCTTGACTTGTCACCCAACACAAGAATTTATAATTATTTTGTTATTGGGAAAAGGTCCATGTGTCAAATTCTTATGGTTATGACTCTGGTAGTCAACATCATTTTTCTTTTCGTTTTTTTAATTCTTGGGTTGGGCCTTGGGCCAGTCAAATCTATGGACTTTGGGTGATGACTTATTGGGATAGGTTAGATAATGGGTCTAGTCAATCAATTGGATACAGCATTTCTGCAGTGCAATTCTTGGTCTTGGCAATGGTTCAAAATTTAACACGTGAGGGTCGACTGGGTCAAGGAGGGCTCTCGTCCAAAACGTTTGAATGTGAAGCCTAACGCCCTGGTAATTGGTAACTAACCTAGAAAGCTTTTCAATTGATTTTCTAGCTATTCGAAGAAAAACTTGAATTAGATTCATATCGGGGTATTTAACGTGGTCAAAGTTTATCACAATAACCGTATTCATTTATCGCTATATTCGATCTCATGGTAATTCAAAACATTTGAGAGTATCAGTAAATAATTTATCCGCCCACTTGATGAAGTCAATAAGCGCTTCTCCCTGACACCTCTCTTTTTACCCAAATAACTAATAACATACAAAAATGTTGGAAAATTGTTTATCCGGACAAGTTTTACCTAAAAAAAATATTTGTCCAACATACTTATCCAGATTAATAAAAACAAACAGGGCCTCAATAACTTTCTGATACCGCAATGCAGGTTTTAAACATGTTCAGATCACATTGTATTGGGGGCATAATTGGGTCCATTCCATGCATACCCAGACCAAAATTAATATATTACTAGTAAATATGTACGTATATTTGCATAGCAGTTTCTAAACAATTATAAGTGAGCAATTTTTGAACGGTTATAAGTGAGCAGTTTCTGAAATGAGAATAAAGGATATATATGCCTTCTTTGTGCCTACTATTTGATTAAATAAGTGGGATAGAAAAATGTCCAATAAAAATTCCAGAAAAAAAAAAACATTCACTCTTTTATTAATAGTATAAATATAAATATAGATATAGATATAGATATCTGTTTATCAAATACTGAGATATGATCATATGAAATAAAGACCTATGATCAAATCTCACTACCAACAAAGTTAGGGTTAAGGGAGGGGATGGGTTACCCCTATTATGTAGCCATCCAGATATGACAAAGGGGTTGCTGATCCAACCAACCAAATATAATTGCTATTAATAAATCATGTGAAAAGTTACCATTTCTTGACTTCTTGTAGAACATTCAAACTATTAGATTTCATTGTAGGCATTCAGTTGGAAGTGGTTGTTAACTAATTACTTACACGATCCATGTGCCCATATAATCAATGATTAAAATACATATACATCCTCCGATGCCCTCAAGTGGGTATCTGTACATTCGGATCAGAAAGGCACAGATTTGGAAGAACATTTAATGAGGGTTCGCATCCGCCCCCCAAAGCCTTGTCCCACAAAAAACGTTCCATGGGCTGTGAGTGCGCCGCGTGTCCTCTTACACGCGGATTAGAGGGACTCATGCGTGTCTTCCCACACATCCCACGGAACGGCCGTTAGTTCCTTCTCGCCCAAAAGGTCATCCTTTTCACTTCTCTCTCTCGAATTTCAGCTCACTTCAACCCCGACCTTCTGCTCTCAGAACTGAAACCCGCTGAAGATTGCCCCCCCTTTGAGTTTAGCCAGCCGATGCCGATGGCCGTTTTTTTTTTTTTCATTTTCGCTGGAGTGGGAGCCCCCTTCCAGTTCCGCCGGTCGATGCCGGAAAGTCAGAACCGTTGCAACATCTGCAACTCTGTGCCTCTTCCATTGACCAACAACTCACTTCACAAGAGAAAATTTTTTATGCTTTTAATGACAATTTTAGGCTCTGATGAAATCACCCAATTTTATTTAGTAAAAAAATTTGCTTCGAATTGTACAATTTGATGTTTTCTTTTCCCGAGTAATCTTTGTGGGCTTTTCCAAATCACTCAGCATGTAAAATTTTACTTCTCTTGTTCTCAGGTTGTCATGAAGGAGTCTTGTTTTCTTTGCCTTTATGCTTAGAGAACAAGGAAGAACTTAATTCCTTTCCTGTTGCAGACGAAGCACCAATTCCTCCAGAGCTTGAATCATCCAGACATGCGGGCAGGATTTTTTTGGCTTCATCCATAGTCATCTAAACAGAACATTTCAACCCAAAATCAGTACTTAATTCATTTTGTTTGTTTCAAGCATCGAAATATCAAACACATTCCGTTGTACATACCCATGCGGGTCGGAGCTTTCGTTGTTTTTTCTATTGCAAAAAAACAAAAAAAAATAACAAATAAGAAAAAACAAATATGAGAATGGAAAAACTGAGAATAAAGAGGGAACTTACCTCCGGTAAATAAAGTTTCCAAAATGATCGTCGGCATCGACAAAGGGAACTCGAACGGGGGAAGCTCCGGCATGAGTTAGATGCATTGGCATGTAGGATACGCGGCACGTTATGAGTCCGTGGGACATTTTTG